ACCCTCTTATAAAGCCAAAACAGTAATGTAACAGCAACTGTCATGTTGTACACAAAGAGCACCGCTGCACATCGGTTATTTTTCTTAGGGTTATTTAAAGTTTACAGATGTTTAGTGGTATGCAGAAAGAGTATCTCATTTTTGAGACACCCCTTAAAATAAACACTAGTATAAACATCGTATAGTGCCACTACTGTTACCAATAATACTGTACAACACTGTGCACTGGAACTGCAGGTTTCTAATCTTATCTGTGGTATAAATGCAATAATTATTGCTTTAAACACGGTTCATGTAGAATAGTACCTCTGGTCCTGTGTCCAAAAGACACCTTTTCTTAGGTGTTTCTTGTAAGAAACTTCTTGTAATTGTGTGGCGGAGCGTGGACACCAAGCATGAAACCTCAAGAAAGGGGAAAAAACATGATTGTTAGTTAAATCTATTACAGTGCCTTCTTCACATGAAATATTCATGGAACACTATGAGACTCTGGGGCACTTCTACATCAAAAGGGTGTCTTTATTTTTAAAGGCAGTTGAGCTTTTTTCTTTTCTTTCATGTGTACGCGTTCAAGCTACCACAGCGCTTCTGTGATGAAGAAGGCCTCACTGGTCACACCTCTTGTGGCTTCGTTGGCACAACTGCAAGTGAGGTGTACAATATCAGCTAATGGCCCCCTTTACCAGAAACATTACCTGAAAGACTCTTGTGGTTTTGTCATGACTGTGAGCACGAGGCTGATTTACATGTGTGTGTGTGTTTATAAATACAGTGGGATGAATCACTGTTATGAAACAGATGTGGGGACTGGGAGTTCTCCCACTGTCACATCCTCCCCTGGTGCTGTTGCCATGGCGCCGCGGTTGCCTATTTTGAATTTCGCGAGCGTCTTGGAAGCGCTGGCAACCGAAGGATGCAGCCCTGAGAGTCAGTCAGCCAGAAAATAGGAGAAGAGACAGAAACAAGATGGCTGGGCTCCAGCCCAGAATCTCCTCGTCTCCAGACCCTCCCCCTCGGCCTACAAAGGGATTCGGTTGGGAACTGGGGCAGACAGACTAAGACTGAGGGCCAGGCAGCTGGAGATACCCTCAGTACCTCAGCAGTTAGGCATTCTCGTACCATTCCCCATCTTTCTTTACCCCTTATGGAAAGAGAACTTTGGAGTTGCAGCGAACAGGAATTATTATTGCTGTTGAGCCAGGGAGTGAGGCTACAAAACGAAATGAGAAACGATGACTAGAATTAGATCACTACCCACCATCAAGTCTTTTTGTTGTCGTTTCTGTAGCTCCGGCCAACAGCCACGCAGAAACCGTTACATGATTGACTGAAAGTGCTCCTGTTCCTTCAGACGTTGTGATAAGATGCAGCACGTGTGCACAGCATAAATGACAATGACATCTCAAAACTGGTGGGCTGTGGGTTCGAGTCCCACTCCAGGCACTGCTGTCCTGCCTTGAGTGAGATTCTTTACCCCCGTTGTTCCAGTCCACCCAGCTGTATCAGTGGGGAACAGCATTGCTGGGGGGTAACCAGCATCCCATCCAGGAGGGGAATCACATGGTCTCTTATCTACTCAACGCCATGGACACCAGGATAAGCTGCACTGGCTCTGGAATGGAAATTATAGAGACGTAAGCAGGCAGATGGGCCTTGTGTGAGTTCAGGCTGATAATCAGCTAGGCTGGTTCTTGTAAGGGATTTCAGCCAGCAGCTTTTGGCAGAACAAGAGCTCTTTCCATGACTTTGACTGTGAGCTTTTACAGGACATAAAGTTGGTTCCTGGACTTGGTCTTGCACTCGGAATGAGCAATTTCAGGCTCCGTTTCGGTTTTTGCTCCGGTGTGGTGTTTTGTCTGCTCCCGATCGGATCAGATGCCTATTTAATTTTCCAAGCCTGAAAAAGAACAGGACTGCTTGGCGTTTCGTACACCTGGCAGTTTGTAAAACATGTTCCTTCTTTCATCTTGTTCGGAGTCATTACATCGCTCTTAGCCTGGGCTGATCCTCTAGTATTTGTCCGCCAGCTCTGCTGTCCGTGGTCTGTATTAAAGGGAGGATTTGGACAACAAAACGCTGAAATGTCAACCCTCTGGTTCATTTCAATAATGAAGGACATCCCCCCTGTTCCATTATTTCTACAAGAGTGAGTTTGCTTCAGACAGCAAGGCCTGCACAGCATGAATATGCAGGCTTAGCCTTTTATCAGATAACAGTGGCCCAGATCCCCTTTGTGGGATTTTGTTTTCTGTTGAAAGAACCCCTAATCACTCTCCAGCCCCCAGCCCTGCCGCCTACAGACACCTTAACGTTTTTTCCCCCTTCTGGCACATCAGATTCTGGCCTGGATAAATTAATTGAGAACAATGTCTTCGTCCTCACACAACACATTAAGATTATCACAGAAATATTTTTTTTTTTCTCTGGATACTAACCAAAAGCCAGATGCACAGTTCCCATGCCTTGCTCACCAAAGGCTCTCGGAAAGGGCGTAAAAACAATTGCTCACGTCCATGCATGACGTGCAGGAGAGCCAGGAGCCTGGTGGCGGATGTGGGAGTCGCGCTCGCTGGCCCTGAGCTGCGCCTCTGCCCTGCTGGGTGCGGGACAGGTCTCGTCTCCGGGGTGAAAAGGAGCCGGCTGACGTGCAGACCACTGTCCACAGAGAGACGAGCGTCGAGTCCATGGCTGCTTCAGTGGACAGGAGCTGGCGTGCCTGTGGGGCTCCAGAGGTGCTGTGCACGAGAGGGACCCCCTCACACCAGCTTCTCGTCTTCCACTCCAGCTGACTCGCCTGTCTCCGAGCAGGCCGGTTCAGATAATGTAACAGCCATGCTGTGCTGTAAGACTGTTTACATCAGGAAAGTGAGGAGATGCACATCTGGCAAAGGTCAAAGTGCTGGGCATACTCCTCCCCGATCGCTGTTCACTGGCCTTTTCCTGGGAAGAGGCTGATGGGAAGAGCTGTAGTCATAACCCCTTGTGTTTTACCCCTTGTTTCGTCAAACTAAAACACGAGAGCTCCACATTTTATTCACGTTTAAGTGCCTTTTATTAACTCTTCAGTGAGTGTTCAGAAAGATCAGTGCCACTTTTCTGTACCGCTTTCTCTTGTGGCAAGCGCAGGTGCTGCCTTTTAACCCCGGCACAGGCTGGGCTCCGTGATCGCAGGTCCGAGCTGGGTTGGGTCAGTAGCCGACTGGACCCAAGATCCCCCAAGCGATGAGTCAGTCAGAACTCTGTCTGCTCTCGGGGACACAGTGACCCCTGCTGGTCACACGTTCCTCCACATTCCGGTGCGGAGCTGTGTTTCACGCTTAAAGAGGAGTGAAGAATCTCGGAGGGGGAGGAGCTGGAGGTGTGTGTGTCAGCAGCAGTGAGCTGAGGCGCGAAAACACGCACAAAGTTGGCGATTCGGATTAAAGTGAGTATAAGAAAATAATTGGCCCAGGTGTTAATGTGCAGGGATGTTAAAAGTTTCATGACTACGGCCTTAAAGGATTTGCTTTTACAAAGCAAGCAGGAGGTGCTGCTACACAGCAGAGAAAATGGATGTCAGCGCTTTTTATTTTCTCTTTCTAGCCTAGAAATTAAAAACAACGGAACTTTCAAATTCATAAACCCGTAAGCCTGGATTAAAAAAAATATAGGCATGTTTAAAACAGTGCAATCCAATATTACTCGTCCTAAGGTTAAGAATTGAATATTGTAGGGTTATCCAAGGCCTGGATCAATAACACTGATTATTGCAGTGCCATGCAATAGCGTGAAATGCTGCAGTCTCCAGAGCAAATTCAAAATCTCAGACACCCTTTACAGTTCGTTTGAAGAAGCCCCGTATTCTGGTATCTTTCTCCTCATTGTTGGTGAAATTCTCTGCCTCTTCAAATGAATTAATTATTAAAGCCCCGAATAATGCGCCCATTTCTCTCGTAAATTATTAATCCGTGCATATTCACTTACACAGGATCAATTGCGATTTCATATTTCAGTCAAATACGCAGTGTGCATGGAGAGTAAGGGTGCAGAAACGGAATAAAACTATAAGTGTTCATTGGGGGAGGGGTTTGAGTCTGATGCATTTTCCCCGTTTTCAAACCGATGGCTCCCTGTATCAGGGCGTCTTTCTGGTCCAGGGGACAGTGCTCATCACAGTGTCAAACATCTGTTACCGGAGAGGCGAACCCTCGTTAGATGAAGACCATCGCCTTAACAGACAGATTGTAAAAAGTCCCCCTGTTGTATTAAAGCCAAGGTAATATCAGGGTTCTATGTATTTTTTTAAGCAATAACATCAGCGTGTTAGATCTACTGGGAAGTTTGTGAACAGTTTGTGTTTCTGTTGTAATATTCAGTTTTGCTGTGCCCGTTTTAATAGAGCCTGCAAGATGGTTCGGTAATATTCGAACTTGCGTAGATTCGTTCATTCACGTGTAGATTTTAAAGATATTACATAGATTCGAATTCCCGGCAGACAAGCACTGTTCTCCTTCTGTTTGGTTTTTAAATAGAAAGGAGTCCATGGCGAAGAGCTGGGCGTTGGAGGCCCGGAAAGTGACAAGTTTCAGAGTTTTCAGTTTCAGTTTCAGGTGGTTTGCCAAGGCAACCATAACAGCAGAGCACCCTCACTCCCTGGTCCGTGGGGCCCAGCCCAGCAGGGGAGACATTTACACATGATTAGAGTTCGTCAAGGCCTCGTTAGATGGAACAGAAATTCTGTACAGGTCCAGAGCTGTTGATGATTCAGAGGGACACAGGACACCTGCTGGGCTGTGGCTCTCGAGGGCTGGGATTCTGGGGGGGCTTCAGTACAGCTCGTCGCCTCAGAATTAGGGGCTGGGAGAGGGTCTGGCCTGTCGCGGTGCTCTCTGACGTGATCGCACGGCGTTTGTCTTCGCTGTTGAAGAGAGGCAGCCCGTCAGTGCTCCTGGTGCCCGCTGTGGGGTTAATGGCTGACAGATAAATATCTGCTGACATCTACTGCTTGCTTCCTGGAACAGCACGGAGGAGCCTACCCTGATGTGCCTGAACAGCTGTAGCAGTTGTGTTCCGGAGGGCAACAGCAGCATGGAGACCAGGTATGATATTTCCATTAATGGAAAAAATACCCTATTTTTTCCCCTTGCTGTCTAAGCACAAAAAAAACCCTGATATAGGTTTTACCAGAGTCGCATGGCAGAGCTGCTCATGATGCACAGCTCTGTGATCTACACACCTGATCTTCTTCACTCCAGAAACACACAAAGGACGCCACAGCGCGAGAGAAATGGAGAGCGAGAGAGACCGACCGAGAAAGGCTCGGGACTGCGCTTACAGGGTGTCATGAAAAAAAGGATGGAGAGGGAGCGAGGGAAAGAGAGAGGGGAACGGAGAGAGAGAGAGAGTTGGAGGGGCTACAAGGGTAGCTGCTGCTTCCGAGACAGAGACTGTGCAGCCCGCTGAGAATTTCCTCGCCTGGTGGCAGAGCTGGTCCGTGGGCAGGACCCACAGCTGACAGTCTGACAGCTCCTCCTGCCTCCCTCTCTCCCGCAGATCAGACAGGGCTCCGAGACAGCTCGCGGAAGATGGGTGGAACACACTCCTACTCGCTTTCCTCTGATCTCCGGAAGCCAACTCGATAAATGCTGCCCATAAGTACGTCTCGCCGACTTAAGCATTCAGGACCTGCCGGCTGCGTAGGACAGCTCTCTGCGGATCCTCCAGACTAACCTGCCTGTGAACCCGCAGCTTCTGGTCCAGCCAACGGCACGAGAGCAGTTTAGCATGGCTGAAAGGGAGAGCTGATTTCATCACAGTCCTGTGAAGCAGCTTGGGTAGGGAAACGTCTGTGCGGATGAAGACACATCTTTGTATGACAGGCTCCCATGACCAGGCACAGATTCCAAAACCACGTGCAACTTCCAAATAAACTGAACACCGGAAGGAATTAGGCCAGGGATGAGAAATATTTCAGGAAAGTTTTAAATATTTTTTGAAGCACTTCCCAATTGTGGGGTCTCATCTGTGGGTGGGAGGGGAGGAGGTGTTAGAGGCAGCCCCACGGCGTCGTTGGTGGAGGTGGAGGATAGAAGGGGGACACAAATGGCTTTGAGTCCCATTTTTGGAGGAAGGGTGTTCCCGGTGAGCACCTGATTTTGTAGGCGCTGCAGTATCAAAGGAGAGAACAGTGCCTAGTATTGCTGCAGTACTGCACACAGCCACCAGGGGGGCAAGAGTCTGGGAGGCTTGGTGCGTATAAAAGACGAAGCAAATGGAAAAGCACTTCCTGAGGTTTGACAACACCGTCGCCCGCCAAGAGAGACAGCGGGGTGCTGAAAATCCACCCTCGGCCAGGCGCAGGCGCATCCCCGTCGCCCCTCTCTCTTCCCGAGGCTGAGCAATCCAGCCTTGCTGACAAAGGGACAACGGAATCACAGAGCCCGTGTGTCTTGAATAGTAAAGAAGGGATTAACAGGATCAGGCAAGCTTTTCTGGGGGATGGATCTTTCCCGAAGAAGGCTGGACCGCGGCCTGTTCTCCATAGCAAGAATGGGCGAAACAGCGCTGCCAGTCTCATCTGCTGCTCTCTCCCTCCTGTATTACAGCACAGAGCACAAGAGGTCTCTCACTGCTGCTTCTGGAGAATCACTAATGCTGCCCCACCCCGTACACCACACCCCTGCGTGCTGTGAGACCTACAAAGGGTTAAGCGTGCGTTTCCCGTTGCATCGTATTAGAGCTCCTGTTTCCACAAGAGCATTTACTCCCTCTGGCCACAGATTCACATGAATAAATACAGAAATGTCTCCATATCTCAGACTGACAGCGTGCGGCCCCCCGCTGCGTGATTATCCGAGCATGACCTCCAGCCCGAGCCCGCGTCCCAGTGGGAGTTCCATTACCCAGCCCAGGCACAGAATCTCAACAAAACCACTATAATCCACGCTGACATTTTTAGAGACAGTTGTTACACAACACACCAAATCAATCTTTAAAAAGGCACGTCTCAGAAACCTCATTCTATCATAACAGTTTACATGTGCAATGCGGTAGAGTTAACTCCTTCGGGGGGCAAATGGCGACCGCTCAGTTTGTTCAGGAGACAGGAGGGGAGTTATTTACCTCCTTTTAGGTTGGGTTGAAATTATAACGCGGAGCACAGACCATGCCTAGCCCAGTGAGGATTTTGATCAAACATCTGCAGACAGGAATGAGTTAAACTGATCAGAAACTGCACAGATTGTGCAGGAAAATCGCAGCACGATTAGCGTACACATTCCACACTGCGCCTGCACACGGGCTCAGAGCCCTCTCCTTAATCCGGACCACTGCAGCGTCTGTACTGAACACCTCTTGTCACCGGATATTCCGCTAAACCGATAGGCCAGCGACCCGCTGGGGGTCTGAGAGTTTAAAGAGGGCTCATGAAGTTACAGCTGCAAGGAATGTCGCAGGCTGGTGTTGCCTGGTCATTCCCAAAACTCTGCTGTGAAGACCGTGCCAAAACAGTGGCTCCTGTCTCAGCGCGATGGTGTCTCGTTGGGCAGAATAAACTTCTGTAAGTGCAGAAGGAGATTTTTTTTATCAATGGGCTAGACAATGAGTATTCTCAACAGAAAAACTGCACAGACGGAGTCACAGTTGCACTACATTTCCTCAAGAAAGTTAGACACAAATAAATATAATATAAAAAAGTAATAGGTTTATTCCATGCTGAAAAAAAAAGTAGAAAGAGAACACAACGTTTTGGCTGTGGAGCCTTCTTCAGGTGTGCATGAAGAAGGCTCCACAGCCCACACCTGAAGAAGGCTCCACAGCCGAAACGTTGTGGTCTCTTTTTTCAGCATGGAATAAACCTATTACTTGTTCCTTTGCAGCCTACGCATGCTGACACAGCTACCCACCTATATTATTTACAAACTAATTAGCAGGGGGTAAGATCTCCTAAGATGTAACTTGGTTGTATTTCCAGAATTCCTCAAATTAAGTACAGCTCTGTTACAGTTTGCTTGTGCAAAAAAGGTGATTTTTTAGGCAGATGATTTTTTCCTGTTGTAAGAAGTAGACTACTTTCACTTTAATAGCACACAAGCCCTCATTCTTTGTATGAGCTCTGCTTTTCCCATCCTTTTTATGCGACGTGTTGAAGTAAACGCACCAGGCCAAAGGAACAGCAGCCTGCCTGCGCGGACCCCACCCTCTCCTCACGAGGAATGAGCCAGGGAGCTGCTCCAAGGGTGCAGATGGGGTGCAGGCAGGGGGTGCGTGAAAGGAAAGGGGGAAAGGCAAGAGGCAGAGAATAATGCTCAGGGGTTTTTTTTTAATATTCAGCATCCGCTTGGAAGTGCTGAAGACGACTTCCTGGCGATAAATGCCCCCAGTGTAACTTGGCTGCGTTTGCCGAGATCAAAGCTGGGTTTGATCTTCGGATGTGCCAGATGGAGATCTCCCTGGGGAGGGGGCGCCTGGGCACAGCCTCATGCCTGAGCTCGGGATCAATCCCTGGTCCTGCAGAGGCAGCTCCCTGCTCCACGGTCAGCATCCAGCATCAGAGCGGGAATCTGGAGGCCTGGGCACCTGCACATGGTGATAGAAGGGAGCAGGAGGGGAAACAGGAAAGCTCACCTGAGCCATCTACAGCCCTCTGCTGGTATTGTCGTCATACGTGGGGTACAGATGGCCACAACTGTAGCACGCTAAACTGGCATAATCTGCAGACTAAGGGACACTGCGCATATCACACATTAAATTCTCTGTTGCCTGGGATGAAAAGATTAATGGCAACCAAACTAGAATGCTAGAAATGGAGGTATGTCCCACTGACACATATTTTACAGACCACAGGCCTGTTTAATTGTAAAGCTGGCCACAGGCTCTTCTTCAGATTAGCCCAATGTTTAAATCTGTTTGTACGCTTGAGGCACAGTCACAGCTTCACTGCGTTTGGTACCTTTGTCATCCCGCCTGCTCAGTCAGAGCAGGAATCTACCAGTCTCAGGACAGCGGTGGAGGTGGTCACAGATCAGATCACATTCAGGGTACCGTGTCAGGCTTCCTGCTCCCTGGGCTGTCTCCCGTCCGGCTCGGCCCAGTCGGTGCCCTGGACCTGCAGCTGGTTCACCTGTGAAGCTGGCTGCCTCTCGAGGGGCACAATTCCCCCTACACTGGCAGGGTCGAGTGTGGCTGGGAGCTGTCTGTGCCTTCGTACGCCCCGCAGGGAGGAGAGAGGACAGACACACAAACACCTTTATACTGCTGAGGCAGCTCTGAAGAGGAGTAGTGTACAGCCCCATTCTGCAGGCTGATTTAAATATTGCTGTGCTTAAAGCTGATTTTTTTTTTGCTTATTGCCTGATTTCTTTTGTTTCTTTCTGTTTAAATTTAAATGATTAATTTTTTTTTTATTATTTAGATTTGTTGTGCCTGTATCTCCATGCTGTGAAAAGCAAGGAGTCGTGTTGTACTTCCTGTATATACATGCTGATCTATACAGCTCCTTCTGCTTCACCAGTGACTGCATTTTAAGACCTGCAATATTTCAGACGAGTTATCGGTCCCCTGCCCCACCCCCCAGGAATCGTTCAGCTGGATTTCTCAATGCGGGGTGATGATGTCACCTGGAGTGCAAGCACAATACCCATCAGGCCCTGTTGCACCAGCAATGTCACCCTTTAAGCTGCTAAAAATAACCTGGGTGAGGGGGGCATCAGCAGAGCAGAGACCCTCAGGTCAGAGGTCTTCTGCTTGTAATTTCTTCCTGTTGCTTCATTAGAGGTTTTCCTTTTGGCTTAATTGTACTGGAATCGTTCCTATAGCAGATTGTCCTGGGTCACATGCACCATCATTGCACTGTACCATGCAGTGCTACGTTACGTGTTAACTCATGTATTTGTCCACTGTTGTGCAAATATGCAATTAGGCTCACAGTGCTCCTTATACAGTACTCCTGTTTAACCCTGCATGTGTGTCTGTGAAACTCAAGTCATATCTCATCTAGGCCTTATCCATATGGCCCTGAGGCCGACTTATTCATTAGCAGAAAAAGAAGAACTTTTAATAAATGAAGAAGATAGATGTAGCTTAATTTGTAATATTTGTAATAACGTCTCATAAATCTTTCGTTAAGGATAGTATTTAAGATGGGCCTGAGCCTAATGAAATCGGGGGACGTTTAATCTTCGAGTTAATTGCTTCGCAGGCAAAATTTCTCCCAATGAGTCGCACTAGAGAGAGAGGGAAAGGTTTTAAAAGGCAGTAATGGTGTTAATGGCGAAAGGCTTGTGCAGCCTCTTTCACAGGCCAGCTCTCACTCTGCTCCGAAGGTCCGTCCTGCCTGTGTCGCCCTCCCTAATCAGAGCTGGCACCCGGGGAGAGAGCTGCCCAGAAGCCACCCCACTTGGGGGCAAAGTTAGGGACACCAGCCACCTCCCCCAAGAGGGTCGGTACTAACACTAAAGCAGCCGATCAAACCCGAGTCTGGGGGAGGTGGGAGGAAACCGGAGGATGTGGAAACAAAACACGGGAACGTGCAGACTCCTCACAGACAGAAGAGCAGGGCTGAAATGGAACCCAGGACAACGGAGGGGGTGAGGCAGCAGCACCAGAACAGCACCATTCCTGTTGGGCCAGTGGCTCCAACACCGGAATCTGGGGAGCCCCTGGGGGGGGGGGGGTTCTGAAGAGCAGAGGTGTGCACAGTCTGCTCTTTCGCTCAGTGGTAAGTAAGTATTGCTCAGCTAGTGGATTTGTTTTCTGGAACAGTCTGTGGTGGACCTGTTCACCTGCGCTTCTGCTTTGAGTGGCTCTATTGCGTCTGATAATGACATCTTTCGGGGTGGGTTTACGTTTGACTTGGGGGGGTGGTTACAAAAAAGAGGTTTCATGGCGAAGAGGATTCCTCAGTCCTGGTCCTGGTCATGGCGACGCCATTTCTATACATGGCCCCTAGATGGCGCACACAGCTCTTGCAGGAAGAAGGTTTCTCTAAAGCCGATTTGATATCATCCATCCACAGTGCTCTCAGGCCTGCATGACACCTCCCGAGCTGAGATGTATACTATGTAGAAACTGCGTATAAAAAAACTGTTCTCAGAAATATTTGAATTCATGGAAAAAGTTAAGTCATTTTTCAATTCAATATTAATATTAAATCGCTCAAGGCATTTCCACTTTGCAGCACAGTACAAAGGATGAAGTTCTCATTGACTTGGGTTTCACTGACCGACAGGGGTGGAGTTCTGGTACCAGAGACAGGTGGTTGCAGGCACAGGGTCCTCATCACACACCACGGATACTGTAGACATTCGAGTAGGGAGCTGTGTTGCCGTGCGCAGTCTGAGAAGGGACAGGTCAAGATTGATTTCATGCTGAAAGGAGAAGAAACAGCGTTTCGGCTGGGGAGCCTTCTTCAGGCGTGAGGTGTTGTCTCAGTACTAGGCTGTAGAGTTTGGAGCTGAAGTGGCCAAACAGCTTCAGAGCAGAAGCAGTTTGCACGACAGATCCTGCTTCTCAGAAAACTGTAGCTCACAACCTGTTATGGGAGTAAAAGTGAACGTAGCAACCCTACAGGCTGGACATTTACAAAGCCCTGTTGTCGAGGAAGTCTTTCAGGCTTGCAGTCAGTCGATGTGGTGGTTCAGGAGTGGAAGGTTAAATGAGCAACCCAGACTGTAATCTTGATGGACTCAAGACCTCAGTTTTTATCACACATTTCATGGCTTCTCGGGTAACTTCCCCCGCCTAGGAGGAAGGTTCAAGGCTGCCCAGTGACTTACAAGGAAAAAATAAAACCACTGATTTAATCATGTAATATTCATGGTGCACTGCTGCCTGAAAGCAAGCATGTCAAACCTGCAGGAGAACAGCTGTCACATGAATCTCATCTGTTGCAGATTCCAACAAAAAAAAATATTTTCACAAGGAGACTAATTCAGGCCATCGTGTTGCACTCACTGTCCCTTCCTCCAGACTTCACAGGAGCCCTGGAGATTCCTGGAATATCACAGGGTATCGGCCAGTACTCTTCTCTGTCTTCACCTTCACCCAGGAAAACACAGCTGTGCCAAACGTCTGCACTCCCACCTCTCAACAGCTACCTTCCCCTGCAGGAACGACCAAACATTTATATCTACAGGTCCAGTTCAAGGTTTAGTTCCGTAAATATTTTTTTCCATTTGCAGAAAGACTGCTTTACTGTCCTGTCAGCCAGAAAGACAAAACATACTGAGTAAACGGTTCTTCTGCAGTCTATGAAAAACACCAGATGGTCCTGTGAAAGATTTACAGACCTGTTTGAAAGAGTTTCCTCTAGTATTATAAAATGAACATATAGTACATTTTAGAGCTTGACCATTTTTGTACTTTTCCTTCATGTTCTACATATTTATATATAATTTGTAGCTATCTGGACAGAGTCTGTTTTTTTTGCTTATTGTCAGTAAGACATTAATCCACCGGAGTACCTTTCCTCAGATCATATTCACAAAACATCAGGTTCTCTGGGGCGTCTTTAAGATGTGTTGAATATATCAATTAATTATTTCTGTTGTGAATGGAGTTAATCTCAATCCTATAGTCTATCTTCTGGGTGACACAAACACGTGTGGACTAGCCCATTTCATGGACTTGACAGACACTGATGAAATGACATTTAAGGCAAACAAATGCAAAGCATCGTACAGCAGCATTTATGAAAGCCTGAAAACACAACATTAAACATTAAACATGCTTTCAAGAAGCGTGATATCTCAAGTGCAATTGTGGTCAGGAGCGCAAACACAGCTTGCAAGTCTCAAAAGCAAAGATGTGGAAGGGCAAACATTTTCATCATCTTGGCAATTAATAAGAAATCTCAATTTGCACGCAGCATATTACAAATCTTGCAAATAATATTATTATTAACTCCGGAACGAGGAAAGGACTACAAGAGAAAATGAAATTCCTAGCTCATGTGCATCAGTAATTAATTTAATAAGCCCATCAAGGCCTTCTTTGTGCATCTGAAAGGGAACCTAGTTTTTACTTGAGAGGTATCAAATCCAATTTCTCTGGTCTCATGCTTCTGATTTCAGCAGGACTGCAGGGGTAACGTATCTCACATGCCAACAGTCTGGTGACACCACTGGGCAGAAACAGGGGCCACTGAGAGGATGTACAGAGTTCAAAGCTGACTGCTCTGCAGTTACGGAATTTCTAGTTTGCAACTATGACATCGAACAGGAGTAATCAAATGCTGGCAGATTGTTTCTGTATCTTCTTTGTTTAAAATTGTTTTGTCAGTAGTTTGGTTAGATCCTGATACACGCGAGAGTGAGAGGCGAGATGGGCAGAGTGGGCTTGGCGTAGCTCGCCTGGCTGAGGCAACTGGCAGCCCAGCCAGAGGAGTGAGGCTGCTGCGAGGAATGAGCCAGGGAGCTGCTGCAGGGGTGTAGATGGGGTGGCAGGAAGTGTACGAGAGAAGTGCATTGTGGGACTAATATATGTAGGCAAGTAGAAGTGCAAGAGACTGGGACCTAACCTTCCTCCTGCATTTCTGTTGTAAACTCCATTTGTCCGTTACATTCATGTTATTAAAGGCCATACCCTGGTGTCTTTCAGGAAATGACTGGACAAGATCCTCCAATCAGTCAGCTACCACATGGGCTGAATGGCCTCTCGTTTATAGTCCAACACCTGGGCCGGAGCACTCAGCCTCCATTGCTGGTACTGGCTGAACATGCTGGGAACCCAGCACCCTCTCGTACCCTGTAAACCACATACGAGGACAGCTGGGGTTTGGTCTTTAGCACTGGATGCTGGAGAAGGGATTCCAGGGACACGAGGGCTCTGCAAAGGGTTTTCTGTGATGCAGACTGATGCTCATAATGAGCCTGACCTGATGAGGGGTCACACCCTGACCATTTCCGGGACCTTGACAACATTCTGGGAAACTTAGTTAAAGTTAATGCCACAGTTCATGCAGCATCCGAACTGCGGCTTGTAAAAAGAAAGAAGGAGGAGGGAAAGACTCTACTACAACTAGTCATTTAAAAAAAATAATAAAATCTCAAATTGAATTAATGAAATGAGTGAGCATGGCTGGTATGAGCTGGCTTTTTGAGCTGTGGAACATGTCAGAGGCAGTGGCCAATCACAGGGGGGGGTGTGAGTCAGAGGACAGGAAGGGGCTCTATTTATACTGATCCGATCCCTGCTCTCTCACTCCTCACACAACGACCCCCCCTGTGGGAACCCAACCTCTCTCCTCCTTGTGGTCCACAGAAGCATTCAAAACAATTGAAGAAAGCATAGCATCGTCTTCAGAAGCCAGGATCAGGAAAAGGGGCAGCTATTCACTCTTTGAAATGCACACTAAGGAACAAATCAGGTAATTCATGCCTTTTTTCAGCAGGATTCTTGGCTATCATGAAATCTAACCATCAGTGACAGGAGCGATTGTGCTCCTTCATGTTAATAACTTTGTTTTGTGTTTATGAAGAAAGAGGCATAGGGCAAAATGACAGATTAACATCCGTAATCTAAACTTTTTATTATTGTTTGGTAAGTAGCGAACAGATACAGTACAGCCGAGCTGTTAAAATGAATTTGCCATGGCTTGTCAGAGTTATATAAGGCTTATAAATACACTTTTTTTACTGCTTGCATTGTGTCACAGTTAAACTTTCATTTTTTCAGGGCTGAAGCAGAAACTCATCTCGATTATCAATAAGACAGCAATTTCACCTTTTATAATTTTACTTTTATAATATTTACCTGGGGGATACAGTATTCAACAAAGCAAATGAGTGCGTTTCTCCTCGAAAGAATGGACATGAGACAGTGTGGGGGAGCAGTGAAGTATTGTAGAGAGAGCATGAGTACGGGGACAAACGAGGGGAGATCATTAAGTCCATCTCGCTCATTCGTTAGTAGTTAATTGATTCTATGATGTTGACTTCCACCACATGGCTGGGGAGCTTGTTCCACCCTCCCACAACCCTCTGTGTCATGAAGTCCCTCCAGTGCTCTCAGTTGTAAATGATGAGCACATGCAGAAGCCTCTGTTCCTGAATGGCTCATATTCAGGTGTCATTATTGCTTTTAAGGTTATGACATTCAAGACAAAGGTGATCTTTAGCTACTGAGAGACATAGAGTTTAGGAAACTGAAAAAACAACAACACCTCTGCTAGAGTTAAGGACCAGGGAGGAGTATGACACATATTGTAATAGCTGTCGCTTTCCTGATAACTTGGTGAATGTCTTGCATGATATAAGTGATAGGTTTGCTCAGAAAATATAAGGTTAAATATCAAAAGAAACGAAAAGAGCTCAGGGGAACCAGGCTACTGATGCGCACTCCCCTTCCCCGGGCGCTCTGTCTTTCCAGTCACGATGAATACCTGCAGACTGCAGAGTGGCTCCTGTCCCACACGGCGCACAGGCCCAAGGTGGGCGTCATCTGTGGCTCGGGGCTGGGGGCGCTGGCCGACGCGCTCAAGAGCCAGGACTCCTTCAGCTACACCGACATTCCACATTTCCCCCAGAGCACAGGTAAGGCCGGGCCGGGACCTCGGCAGAGTTCCCCACGGGGGAGATTCGTACTGTACGTCCCAGAGGCATTTCGTGCGTACCTGTACCACGGCGAGTCTGTCCACACGTTGCTTTTTTCTCTCCTGCGCGTGGATCTTGTTACGGTCCGCCGAGGTGGGGACTCTCACCGGGAGGAGGGAGCTTCGGAGGGGCTGCTCACTTCACTGTGAATGACTGCGCTGTGACTGTGTGCGTGTCGTTGGGCAGTGCAGGGACACGCCGGGAGGCTGGTTTTCGGCGAGCTGGGAGGGAAGGCCTGTGTGTGCATGCAAGGACGCTTCCACATGTACGAAGGACATTCGCTCGGCAAGGTGACCGGTCGTCTGTCTTCTCAGACTTCTGCATGGCTTGGCACCTCAGCACCTGTCTGAGCTACTATCGCCCTGCTCCCCACCTCGCAACCTCCGCTCCTCGAACCCTATTCTCCTGTCTGACCCCCAAGCCCGTCTACCCTCTGTGGGTGACAGGGCCTTCTCCTGCTGCGCCCCAAAGCTCTGGAACTCTATCCCCAAAGATAGAAGAGCCTTTTCTTAACTGATTCTGTGATATCCCCCCTATTCAGTACCCCCCTCTACTGTTTCCTCTCATTGTGTATTCCTGTTGTGCGTGTGTTGTGTATTTTTTTGTTGTTGTCATTCTGTAAAGCGCTTTGAGAAGCCACTTTTAAAGGCGCTATATAAAATAAAGTCTAATTATAATAATAACATCTTCTGCATTCTGACTGCTACGGAGTTACATCAGAATGTGGAAGGTGTATCTGACTGAGCCTGCAAAAGCACTGCCAGTGCGTCCAGAGGGAGAGATGTTTTATCAGCGGTAGAGTGGCTCAGAGGTTTGGCATCACCTGCCTACAGGCACTGGGGCCCTGAGTTCAATTCCTGGTGTGCTGTCTGTGTGGGGTTTGCATGTTCTCCCTGTTTCCCATGGGTTTCCTCTGAGTGCTCTGTTTTCCTCCCCCAGTTCAAAAACATACGGGTTGGTTAATTGGTTTCTGGGAAGACTGGCCCTGGTGTGGGTGCATCTGTGTCCGTGCTTGCCACATGAGGGACTGGCGTCCCATCCAAGATGTATCCCTACTTGCATCTGTCGGTTGCTGGGATAGACTCCGGCTCCCCAGCAATCCTGTATTGGATAAAGCATTTGGAAACTGGATGGATGGAATGACGTGTTTTTGATGGTGCCTCTGGGCAGCAAAGTCCAGCAAATCGTCTCTGAAAACCTGCAGCCCTTTGGAGCAGGACTAGTGGTGTGGAGCCCCAGCTGGCAATCTGGTTTATGGGGGTGCTTTAGCAGCAGGCTGGAAGAGGACAGGACACGTGTACCTGTAACTGCCTGAACCGGAAGGAGTCGGACTCAGATTGTACTTGCTCACAGTCTATATCCAGACGTGATGTGGCATGCTTGGATCTGACACAAGGGGATCGTGCTGAGTGCCACTGATGCTGAGTGAAGTCCTTGGTCCAGCCAAGTGTGCCTCAGCCACAATGGCCTATTTCTAATTCAATGTGGGCCGATTGTGGATGACTCCTTTTCCAAATGTTGAATAAGAAAAAAGCAAATCCGCTTGATCGCACTGACTGGACCCTAGCTTGCCAAGTGCCAGAGGGAAACACGGTGTCAGTGCGCTCATTGTGATGTCTTTACATAACCAGTGTTAAGAGCAGGCAAGTCTACAGGAGGCTGCAGCTCCAGTGCTCGTTGATCGACCCCTTGTGTGTGCCAGGTGACCTTCCCAGTCCGCGTGTTCAAGCTGTTGGGCGTGGAGACCCTGATCGTCACCAACGCCGCGGGCTCCCTGGCTAACAGCTACAAGACGGGCGACATCATGATCATCAAAGACCACATCAACGTGCCTGGCCTCGCCGGGCTGAACCCGCTCATCGGACCCAACGATGAGAAGTCAGTACTCTTTCGCTCCTTGGTTTGTGATGTAAGACCCGGGCAGCAGTTCAGGGTTTTGGAGTCATAACTGAGAGGTTGTGGATTCAGATCCCAGGTGAGCCATAGCTGTTGTACGTCACCCGGGTCGCTCCAGGAAAAGACCTTGCGGTCTAAACGAAAGCTGTGCTGGATACATGTGTTTGCCCAGGAAAACAGCATCAAATGTTAAGACATGTGGCTAGCAGGCTCCAGGAAAATCAGACATCCTGGAAATAAAAAGTTTAGTAAAACTGCTTTTCTTACCCTCACCAAGGCATCTGCCTTCAAAACAGTCATTAGGAACAAACATGGTTGCTATTTGTCATATTCAATTTTAAGTTTTGTTAATTACTAATATTACCTTCACTGTTTCAGTCACATCAGCACAGATCCGTTGTCTCTTGGCTCCTGCCGACGATCAGACAGAGAGCAGCTCCTCACTGTCAGTGGTTGATCGGCAGTGTCAGTGCGAATTAGGACGATCCCGATGGGCTGCAGTTTCCCAGTTAATATGAGGAAACTTTCAAATATCGGTGGCTGAAAAATCTGGTTTTTAAAGGTTTTAGTTGACAAATCACAGGGCTTGCTGTAGATGACAAATTACAAGGAATGAGCCAGGGAGTCAGCAGCCAGGGTGCAGCTGGAGAGTTAGACAAGATGTGAATGGAGCTGTGGGCAGGCAGGGAGTATTTACCTGAAGGGGAGAGGAGGTGTGGGACGAGAATCTGGCCTCCCCCCCCCCCTCGAACCTCTGTTAATTACACTGTTGGATAAATGGCAGAAAGCAGTTAGGACAGGGTGGGCATCTTCAGGGTGCCGGGGGCTCACTGCCTTCACTTTTATGTTGGCGCTGCAGTGCGCTGCCAGCTTGCGCCAAGTCCAGCATCACTCCTCCAGCTGGTGCCAACGTTCCCCGCGGGGGCTGGGGGTCTTCTCCAGTCTGTTGGAAGACTGGCTCTGGCAGAGGAGCATGTCTGCAGATTCTCGTTTTCTCCTGTCCGCTGGTAAAACGCGAGCCGATTCCATATGGAGCTGTGAAAACGGAGGGGAACCTGCAATTCCATATTTAATATTATGGAATTAAATATTCCATAAGATTAATAAAGACGGAAAAATGGTTTTGTTTTTCGAGCCTGGCAGTGAGGTTATTGATTTTTAAATAAGAAGAATTTACATCAGAGGTTTCATAAGCATTTTTCAGCTAGTGAGGAGCTTACACTACTGAGTGTGAGCACGCCTACATCTTACAACATTGTTGTATGTGACAATACACATTAGCTTTAATTTCCATCAAAGCAAATGAACAGGAAATTACTTTGTTTTTATTTTGGAAAATACAATGAACATCAATTACGTTATCTTCAGTCATTTACGTCAGAACCTCTGTGTGCACAGGCAGTTACGCAGGGAGGTGTCTAACCAAAGAAAAGCTGTGCAGTCCTGTGGGGTTTAGAGATGTGACTCTTCAGAGTGAAAACCCTTTCTGTATTGCACTGGAGTGTGAAAATGAACTGCAGACAAAACCTAACTGATGCATTTATTGCAGAACAGGACAAAGAGTGGCCGTGGCATAAAGATACAAGCAGATCTCTTCAAAGGCGAAGATGTCAATGTCTGTCAAAAGCGGCCCCCTCAATTTTTAGACCCAGTCGGAAAACACCAGGAATGCTTTTATTTTGCATGTCGTGAGCTAATGAGCTAGGCCCCCTCTGTTCCTTTCCATTTCCTCGTGGTGTTTCACCTTGACTATCTCAGTCTCTGAAACTCTGCCATTTCCAAATTCCCCCCCGTGTCCAGGTTTGGCCCAAGGTTTCCCCCCATGTCGGGGGCCTACGACAAGGCCCTGCGCAGGATGGCTCTGGACATCTGCAAGAGCCGGGGCTACTCGCAGTTCGTGCAGGAAGGGGTGTACTGCATGGTGGGGGGCCCCAACTTCGAGACCATAGCCGAGGCGCGCCTACTGCACAAGCTGGGGGCAGACGCCGTGGGTAAGAGGCGGGCTCTTCCTGGGGACCGGCGCCGCTCCCGGTATAGGTACAGCGGTTACGAGAGGGTGCCGATTATATGTTTGGCCCCGACTGCCATAGCGTCAAGAGAGATCTCCCGAAAGTCGAGAGGATGCCTGTGGCGATTCAGGAACCCGCTGTTGAGTAGAAGGGTAGACTACGAGACTCACCACCCGAGCTTTCTGTACACAAGGTTGTCTCCAGGAAGACGCACGGCTTACTCTGAGTAACACATGCCTGGCTGTCTCTCTCTGGGAGCAGGCAGGGGTCTGCAGGTACAGATGACAGACGTGTAACCAGGACCCTGTCTCCCCCGAGCAGGCATGAGCACAGCGCCGGAGGTGGTGAGCGCCAGCCACTGCGGACTGAAGGTGCTCGGGCTCTCCCTGATCACCAACAGGGTGACGAAGGACTACGAGGACACGGAGAGTGTGGACCATGGCAAAGTGCTGGGAGTGAGCAAAATGAGGTCGGAGACCCTGCAGGGCCTGGTGTCGGAGCTGGTCGCCCAACTGGACATCAACGGCACCACCGCGGAGTGACGAGGAAGAGGAGGGCAACACAGCACAGGCTGAAGGGCGGAGGAGCGCTTGCTGTCAGATCCTCGTAGTGCAGATCTTCCTGTTTCTTTTACTCTTTTCAGTTTTTAATTCCAGTGCCCTCAGTTTTCATTTGACAGTAAAATCTGGGGAAGCACGCTGAGTATTCAGAGTTAGCTTGGATACACTGTTTACACACAGTCCACAATCAGGCCTTGTGTCGCTTGTCTATATTTTCTGCAATCCACCGCTGTCATTCCTGTACGCTTCCAGCAGTTTGTTGCTTGGCTGTGAATTGCATCCGAACGCCCACATGTGTATTATTTATTGTACTAGAACACTAATGTACATTTGAGCACTCCACAAACGAAATTGCTGTTGAACACTGTTGCCTACAGCTGACCGCCAACGAGGCAGTGTTTTTTAAGTGGTGTGATGCCAGTGGTGTTAATTTTTTTGGAAAATAATAAAGTATGTGAAAATGTCTTTGTCTGACAATGCCATGCAGTTGGAGCAGATCAAATTTGTTTCTAAAGTACCAGCATGAAGACAAATGTCACTCTTTAGACTGAGGCTCAGGAGACATTTTTTTGGGGAAAAAAACAGGTCCTGCCAAAGACAAAGCATCCCACCTGTGAATGGTTTTACCTTCAGGGAAGATTCTTTTCTTTCAGGTAAACAAAATGCAGGGAGATAACCAGATTCTTTAAATGTCATTTCTACCAGCAACTGGCTGTCTCATAAAATATTGTCTGTTTTGCCCGTATCTTATCTACCACCATAGACACCGATGATTTCTACCCTGGACAAGCATGTCTAAGTACAGATAAGATGCACACACCTTTAATGAGTTAAGGGTGAAAGTGTTGAAATCATAAAATAAAAACGAGTGAGCGAGAAGCAGGATTTTTCTATGACAGCAGGCGGCAGTGGGTGAGGTTAGGACTCGAACTCCTCCCGAAATTTTGTTTTTAAATCCATTTATGACTAAAAGCTACCAGAGTAAAATATATTCACTGTAAAATACCTTCTGGTGGATCAGCACAACTTGTGCATGAGGTCATGGAAAATGATCTTAGGCACTGCTGTGTTTTTAATAAAAAAGAAAAAGATTTCAAACAAGAGAAGGCCGTTCGACCCATCTTAATAATAATCTCACAGCTCTGCTTGTCTTTCCCTTTTGAGTTTGAAAACAGTCATTACCGCATTCATGTTCTTATGGGAATAGTTCAAATGTTCTTTGTCTTTTCAAGACTGTTACACTAATGGTGCTCAGAAGGGAATGTGCAAATCTATCCTACAAGTTCACTGAAGCCATTGGTGTCCAGTAAAACTGGGAAAAGGTTAGACCAGTGCCACTCCTGTCCTGGTGAAGACACTCTTTCGAAGACTGTATGAAAATCTTTGTTGGCTGACGTGGTCAAGGTCACAGTCACAAAGATGTCTTCTCACCGCGGTCCGAGATTGTTTTCTCCTTTCCTCTCCGGGGCACAGCTGGGAGGCCGAGAGAAGCCAGCCAAGAGGTGCGGACAGGACTTGAGCCTCATCACCCACTCCCACGGCAGGGCATCTGGGTGAAGCTTACAGGAACAAGCTGGGTGTTCTCACCCAGGCCTTCCTGTACTTCCAGGCACACCAGTTTCACTTCAATATGGCCAACAGATAGGTCAGGGGGCCACTTGCAATGAAGATAAGGCAACTAGGAAATGAGTATTGGAAATAAAAGCCTTGCTCTTTGTTTGCAAAAATTTTAAAAACACAGTACAATCAAGGCTCTTTTGTTGTTTTGAGAATACACTTTGAACAGGAGTAAATACCGAAATGCTGCACAGAAATAATAGTTAGACTACACAAGGGTCAGCAATTAATCCAGATTAAATAAAGGAATATAGTTCTTATAGTTCTATATTTTATCTGATCTTAGAATTAATCTACCTTTAGACATTTTGTAATTCATGATTTTTGATAACATAACATATAACAATAAACATTTAATTTAATAAACAGTGAATTTAACATTTAATAAGTATGAGCTGGCTGTCCTTGCAGAAGGGTGTAAAAGCGATGACTATAATGTCAGGTAGCAGACAAACACACCCAGAAACAGATATTATTTTAAATGGATCTGAAGCACATTTTTTAAATTTTTTTCTGAAGTATTTGGCTAACACAAATACCGGAACACTTCACATAATTGCAAAACTGTTCCAACAAATTGCACCATCCATCGTGTACATCAGTTATGTTACAGCTCCTCCGACACCTTGCAGGAATTGAAATATCCTTCATCCACTTGATTTAACATTATATTCTTTTCATCCTTTAACCAAAACAGAAGCAAACTTCTTTTCAAATAGTCCACACAAATTATACCACCTTTTGCCATTTGCATGCACACAAGAAATGAAGACCAATAATGTGAGATCTATCTAGCACTGTAGTGTTCCAAGGGCTGGATTAGTTATTATTGTTATTTATAGTTGTGAGTTATTAGTTATTGATCTATTATAGCTGCAGACACTTCCAGACATCATTACACAGAACTGAAGTGTTGTCTTCCTGTTAACCTTAAGCCTTAAACACAAAAAGGTATGCTCACAATCCAGGCATCCACCACCCCACCCCCCCGAGCATTGAAAACTCAGCACAAAAATATGTTTGCCGCTGCCTTTCTGTTACCATCCTTACTACCTTTCTGGAAGATCCACAAATCCAGTTTAACTAGTTTGAGACTTTATTTAAAGGTCGACATACCTGTTTGTTTTGAGCTGCTTGCTTGCTGCTGTTCTGAAGAGCCTCTCTGAGCGTCCCGCCGGGCCTGATCAGAACATCGTCTGTCCTGGGATCTACAGCTCATCCATGTACATTCTCAGCTTTCCTTAATTACTCCTTCTCGGACATTGCTCTCAGGGCTGTTGAAACAATTGTAAGTTGTGGAAAATGTGATGTTGTTATTCTCTTTCATAAATCATTGATTTCCAGAGCCTCTACTTTAAGTATTAATGCAGCTAGACAAGTTATCCAATTAATATTACCTCAATGGTATCTTGTAAAGTACTCACATTTCAATTCATACTTTAGCCTACAGGAAACCGGGAAGAAGTTCTGCATTAAAGCTTTGAAAAACACCTTTTTGGACCACGTCAGGGGCAGCTCTGGGCACTGGCGTGGTTCCAGATCTGGAGGGCTGGTGTGTCTGCAGATTCTCCAGGTCTCTTTAAAGCAGCAGCTCCCGAAGAGCTGGGAGAACCTACCTAACTGGTCTAATTAAGACAATAATGAGCTGATTCAGGTTGTTTCTGCAGATATGTTTCCTAATTTCTATAGGATTTATTGAAAGTGTTGTACTGAAATTTAATTGGGAGTTTACCTGGAAGTAAAACAAAACCAGAAAGAAAAAAAAAAACAGTTTAAGAGAACCAGTTCTCCCACACTCAACCAGCAGTAATGTCTTGTGCTCTTTATTCCTCCAGAGAAGATGGCGCAGTATCAGTTCTGGAGAAAAAGGATGGAGATGCTGGAAAGGAAGAGACAAGCCCAGATGTTTGCGTTAATGCCAGGAGTCCATCCTTCGCCCTTCCTTTACCACAGCCCACTTTACAATGCAGTTCATAACCCATGGTGCATGCCAGCTCATAACCCATGGTGCATGCCAGCTCATAACCCATGGTGCATGCCAGCTCATAACCCATGGTGCATGCCAGCTCATAACCCCCAAATGATGCGAGGTGCCCAGAAGCCAGTGATGAAGGGCAACAAACTCCCTGCCTACAAGAAGAAGAACCCTGGAAACACAGGTGTCAAAGTCTGTACTAAAGTTCTCAAGAACTGCCTCAAGATGACAGGGTCAACGAATTATGGAAATCATGGTGGGGGGGGGCCTGACGCCAGTGCTGTTGCCGGAGGCGTTAGTGG